TTATCATAACCTTTAAAAGACTTTAGACTTCAATATTGACCCTGAAACAATAAGAACGCTTTATAATTATTCCAACAAAAAAAAGTTTCAATGATAAGAACCTAAGCTTGACAAGAAATAATTAAAAATGAATGTATGTAATGAAATGAATGGTTTTAGGAGACATTTTTGAAGAGAAAAATCGTTTCAAGGTTTGTCATCTTAGTCGCCGGGTATGTGATTCCAAGCCAATCGGTTTTTGGATGCTCGATGTTCTAGCTCAATCAATCGCGTTTGAATAAAGTTATCAAATGAAATATCCACCACTTAACATTTTGAGGCAAGTAACAGCCCTTATGGTCAAAGGCCACCTTTCGTCATTTAGTTCTCAGATGTTTTGGCAGTCAGGAAACAAAACAATCCTTCGTTCGCGAGGGTTGCCAGTGAAGCTAACGTGGCCCCCAACTAGTTTTATTTTATCGACATAAATGGCAGAGACTTCACCGTACAAGTATGTAGAAATTGAAAGTATACACAGTGTAGATATAGGAAATCACCAACTGCACGAAAATCCACACCAAACCGGWGAGACATATTTGGCATTCATAATACTCTCTCACCAGGAGATGTTCACACAACGACGTTCAAATGCAAATGAAGCATAATGAAACTTTTACCCCACAATGCTTCACGCGACTTGATCACCCTCCTCTGATTCTGCCGTGGCTTTCTTTATTCTGCCGTGAGTTAAGTTTATTTTGCCGTGGCTTTCTTTATTCTGCCGTGAGTTAAGTTTATTTTGCCGTGAATTTATTGCCTTTTGCCGTGAGTTTAGTTTGTTTTGCCGTGAGTTTAGTTTGTTTTGCCGTGAGTTTTTGTTTTGCCGTGAGACTTGTGGGCCACCGTATGTTCGGACCTGAAAAGCCACTCATTTTGCAGTCAGTAACGACTAGTATACTTTACTTAGTAGTTATTCATGCCTGTTGACCTCTGTTAGTTATTAAAAGGTTTTCAACATGGTCAAGTATAATAATATCTGTCACTTTCAACCCTCGCTTGCATTTCATTAACTAAAACAGATTAATAAAACAACCAATCATGTCCTGTATTCTCGTTACTGTGATACATGTACCAACCAATCACGTCCTGTCTCTTTGTTTTCAATACATGTATCAATAACGTGATACATGTACCAGACACATGTATCTTGTCACTTTCTTTACAAATACATGTTTAACAAACCTGTATTTAATTGAAAGCATGTATTTAAGTACACGTTCCAAACGCCATTACATGTATGATACTTGTATAATACATGTATACTACACGTATTTTTGACCGGTATTTTAGCCCATACGTTTCAATATTTTCAAGATGGCGGCGAAAACGAGAGAGACTGTGGACGAGTATTTTGGTTCCCAAAGCACGCTGGGTCCAAGTTTTCGGGACCCACAAGTCCTTTCGGTCATCGTACCGTTACAGTCTCTAAGCGTGGAGACGGAAAGGACGAGCGAGAGACTGTGGAAGAGTCTAGCAATCCTGGCGACATCCTGGGCAGCCATATTGACTGGCCGGGTTGGGACTAGATACTAATAACTGGTGACTGTGGGGGAGGGGGGGCGGTTTGATTTGGATAGTGTTTGTGTGTTGATATTAAAAATGACGATATGATGTTTCGATCGACTTTCTTTTCATAAAGACAAAATTTAATATCTCTAAGCGGCGAAATGTTCCTGAGAAATTCTTTAAAATTTCATCAAACCAGTAAGAATGCGGAATTTTGTAAAAACTTGGCTATTAGGATAACCTTCATATTTACTGTAGGTAGGCTGAAGCCTTGATGAACGCCTTCCTAATACGGTAAGTGCCAATTGATGATGATAAAAAAAATCATATGAAAATTTTTCAAATTCAATTTTTGTTTTTAAAATAGTTAATAAATTTAGGTACAATTGTATCTGACTCGTGGTTGACTCAGGCTCGAACTTGGCTCGCTCAACCGAACAACTATGAATAGTTATGAATATGCACATTAGTGGTCTTTTTCCTTGTTTCCCTTTTTTTTCTTTTTTCCCCTCTAGCATTCCTATTATTTCATTTTATCTCTGATTGCTCATTTCTTCATTTTGTTTTTTCTCGATTTCAATCTTTGTATTATTTATAGATGTTTTGTATGTAGTAGTTACTACTTTCAAAGTTAGCACACAGTAGTTTTGAGAAGTGGGTTGTCATTGGAAACCTCCATGCTCAGCCACTATACATGGCTTGGTTTTGTACCCTGTTATAGATAAATGCATGGACTGGAGTTATATTCTGTCTAAAATTCCATTTTATATTTTGGAATTAAGAGTGAAAACATACCTTTGATTTTAAAGGGCTTTTGGGTGCTTTTATCTGAAAACATAAATTACGGAGGTCATTTCAGTTCATATTAATATAAAGCTTATCACATTTTGCATCTTGTGGTTRCCTTTCTTTTTTCTCCACGGCAGGTCTTGTATGCCGTAGTCATATCTAAGCTCCTCGCCCTTAATGATATTTCTTTTTGCAATAATGCAGATATGCATTTGATTAATAACTTCCTTTTTTTCCCTTTGCAGTTTGCATACCTCGATGGACTGTCATTGACTAGTCTACCAAGCCCATCTGAGTATGTGGCGTCTATGCTGCTCATCCACACAATTTAGGGAAAGGAAGAAAATGACGTTAGGGTAATGCAGTTCATCACAAACATCGCTTTTATATCATAAGCAAGTAAGGTATATATTATACATTATGATTTATAGAATATTTTAAATAGAACGTGCGCTCTGATTGGCTGAGAGGCATTCTCTATAACTCAACAGAGCACGGAGCATTCACGTCATGCGATCTCCTAATACTTCTCTTGTCCTCTGAAAATTCCAGCATACTCTATAACTTGATAGAGCATGTTGCCTCATTTTCTATTCCTTCAGGGTTGAACTAACTTGAGGAGGCAATTTTTCGAGTGGTGAACGATGCAAGCATTTAGAAATATTAATGAATGTGAACTCACCATATTTGAATTCCACGATTGTTTCTAAAGAAAAACATAAAACTTCCCACGCCTGGTACAGTTTCATACAAACATTATCTTTTTTCAGTWTCTTTCGTTGAAATTACTTCCCCCCAGTATTCCAATAGAAAAGTATCCTTTTCAAAGTTGTCTGTGGCGAAGACTCCCCTTCCTTAAATGGAATAAATTTTGATAAACATACATTTTCACATGTTATAATTATGTTTCTTAAGTTTGAATTAACAAATCAAAAACAGTTTTCCGTGTTTGATACTCTGATCAAAACACGCGGGATGTTGGGAGAACACAAGAGGAGCGTAGGAAACCACGACGCGTAGCGGAGTGGTTTCCAGCTTCTCGAGTGTTCTCCCAACATCCCAAGTGTTTTGATCAGAATGTCAAACACAGAAAACTGTTTTTGATTTGTTTTATAAAATAACAAACGCGCGAAAAGATCGAAAAAAAGCAAAGTCTAAGTAAATTCTCCCTACGTGCCGTCTTATTCAAACTGACCAATGAGCGCGCACGATAGATTAAAAATGACGATAGCGTGTTTTGATACTCTCATCAAACATGGTTTTCGACCAATCGACCAATCATAGTGCGCGTAGCATCCCAATTATTTTATAAACTGCCTATAATGTATGAACTTGGAAAGGAGTGAATGATTGATATCATACCAATTTGATCATTGATATAGTGAGCCTCTAGTCCAGGTCTCTCTTCACAACGTAAAATCCATTCCAAAGTGTCATCAGGGGCTGGCACCCCACGATGCTAAAGAAAATATTAATTTCATCACATTACTCATTTCCAAAAAACGGTTCAATATTTTTCTAGATATTTTCCATGATCATCACAAACTGGTCATACTGCGAGGATACTATGGAAGTTATATGTGTTTAAAGTTTCAGAAAGTAATGTCGGAATAAATTGTAAACAGCAAACTTACACTGGACATCATCTGGTAATTGATACCACTAGGAATAAAGTATCAGATGGTCTTTGCTGAAATGAAAACAAAAAATTATTATTATTTTCTCCACATAGAGTATGATTTTTTTCCATTAATAAATCATATTGCTTGATAGTTAAAACAAATCACATTTCAAAATCACTTTTTAGTACATATTAATAACACTAGCACATCGGACTTGCACAGCCTGTTAAAATACCAAGGCAGTTAAGACTGCTTTTAGCTTGATGTTGCAAAAAGTAATTATAAGGCTTGTCAAGCAGGGGCGGATCCAGGGAGAGGCTGTAGCTCCCTTCCCTCTTCACCCTCGTTTACCCCCTTTGCACCCACAATTCCCACCTAATCTATTATGATTTCGATCCCCCCCTCCCCTCAAAAACTGATGTCTTGCAAAATTTGGTCAAGCCCCCCCTATATTTTTGGCTGGATCTGCTCTTGTCAAGTGATTATAAATGAATAGGAATAAAAAAACATAGAGGGTTCATTATTTATGGCGAGGTTACATATTTTTATGTTGGGGTTTCAGAGAGATAAAAAAGGCACTTGGTGTGTTAAGTGATTTCGATGTTTCTTGTTTATCGTTGCTATGGCAACGCGTAACACAATAAAATGTACATGATGTCAAAATTCGGACCATAGGTAATAGTGTGTGAGAGTTTCATCTTAATCGAACAAGAAAAAGCTTATCTAAAGGCCGTTAGAAAAATCTTGGTATGGCAATCTCGAAACCATAGGCAAACACCTTAATTGAGTGGTTCGAGCAAATTGCCGGTCTAATCTGATCAGTAAAATGTCTCGTGCTACTAGAGTGAAAAACAATATCGCGAAACCTTTGATAAGTGAATGACAATCAAAATATCAAGCGTTTCTAATGAAGATTATATTCAACGAAATTTAATTTTAGATTTTCTACCTCTATTTCAATCTGTGTCATATAATTTCAAACTAAAGTCCTTGGCTCCAAAAATTGAATGCTTTTCATCTCTGAAAGATCGAGCCAGAAATCTTGTTCGATCGAGACTGCATGAATTTTCATTTCTATCTAATATGTCATATTTACTAATTTTATTTTTGACTTCATTTTTTCTCCCTAGAATCACCTTAGAAAAAAAATTGAAAGCTTCCGAAAGACAAAGACAAATTAATGTTAAACAAGTTCTTAAAAGCAAGGTAAATTATTTCTTTGCATGCATGTCTTTTTCAGACTCTCATTAGCGATTAAAAAAACAACAACAACAACAGTACAATTGGAATTGCATACCAAAAACTAACAAATGCACTAATCAAGTATTTCATAATCTGTGCATAGTAGAAACTAATCTGGTTTAAGCTTACTTACGCTTCAAGTTCGTTCGTAGCTTGGTCACAAGTCTTAAAAATAAGGTAAATTATTTCTTTGCATGGATGTCTTTTTCAAACTATCTTTAGCGACAAAAAACAAAAACAAAAAAAAAAAAACAAACAACAGTACAATTGAAATTGCATGCCAACTAACAAATGCACTAATCAAGTATTTCATAGTCGGTGCATAGGAAAGTAATCTGGTTTTAAGCTTACTTACGCTTGAAGTTCGTTCGTTCATTGATCATCACTTCCAAAGATGGGCTTAAAAAAATTTTAAGCGCGAAAAATACTTAACTGCGATTGAATATTTTTGCGCGCGAAAACCTTACCTTTGGTGCGTCACCTGTTCTCAGATTCATGTAACCGACCCTATTCGTAAAAACTGGTAGCTCCCTACTTCTACTGAACGTCCTCGCAAGTCTTTGTGTAAGTTTTCGACTACTGATTTATTAGTACGAACGGCATTTTAACACTAAAAAGGTCCCCACTACCCCACTACTGAACGTCCTCGCAAGTCTTTGTGTAAGTTTTCGACCATTGATTTATTGATACCAGCATGCTTTTTTTTCGATTATTTTTTCCTTATCATGCTAATCACTTTGAATGAAATACTTATTTATCAAAATCTAAAACATGTTCTCAGATTCATGTAACCGACCAGAGTGGGTATGATTGTGTATTCGTAAAAACTGGGAGGTCTCCACTTCTACCGAACGTTTTCGCAAGTATTTGTGTAAGTTTTCGACCACTGATTTATTGATACCAGCATACATCTTTCGATCAATTAATAATTCCTTTACCTGCTGCTCACATCCAATGAATTTTTGTCCTCAAATTAAAATATAAGCTTAAAACCTGTTCTCAAATTTCTAGATGGCATTTTTACGGTAAAGCCAGGTCCTTGTACAGTTCTTCTGAGCGTACTGTCAAGTACGGTTTTTGACGCTGTGTAAGATGACCATTTTATCTATCACCATTACGAACACGATTCTTTCAAACAATCATTTTTTAGTGCAAAATCAAAGTTAAAAAATAAACAGCTTTTCGCCATATCGAGGCTGGGAAACCGAGTAGCGAACTCGTTTGTTTCAGCTGAGCGGTGAATTTTGTTTCAGTCAATCACAGAATGTTTAGCTGTTTTGCTGCCAGCCCTCATGTAACCAAAATTTTGTTCAGTCGAACGCTGTCATTTTTTGAAAGATACAAACAGTTGCTATCAGCTGGGCAAAAAAATACTTATTTAACAGGTTGTACCATAGAATTACCTCATTAAATATTTTAAAGCATTTGATTAGTAGTTGTGCCAGGGCCAGTGATTTTGTCCACTCACTTCTCGGTCAGATTCACTGATAAGCTGCCCGTGGTGTGTGCCTCATTAGTTTAACAAATGTGGCTGCAAGGGTTATGACTTCATGGTGGAATACCATATAGTCGTCCTGTGTGTTGGAATACCATATAGTCGCCTTGTAATCATGTGTATTCACTGTAATCATGTGTAATCACTGATATCATGTGTGTTCACTGTTATCATGTGTGTTCACTGTAATCATGTGTATTCACTGTTATCATGTGTGTTCACTGTTATGTGTGTTCACTGTTATCATGTGTGTTCACTCTAATCATGTGTGTTCACTGCAATTACTGTATTCAATTTTATCATGTGTATTCACTGTGATAATGTGTGTTCACTGTTATCATGTGTGCTCACTGTTATCATGTGTATTCACTGTAATCATGTGTATTCACTGTAATCATGTGTATTCACTGTTATCATGTGTGTTCACTGTTATCATGTGTGTTCACTGTTATCATGTGTGTTCACTGTAATCATGTCTGTTCACTGTAATCATGTGCATTCACTGTAATCACTGTAATCAATGCAATCACGTGTGTTCACTGTTATCATGTGTGTT